ATAGATAGATAGATAGATAGATAGATAGATAGATAGATAGATAGATAGATAGATAGATAGATAGATAGACAGACAGACAGAGCCAGTGTTCAGTGGTATTTATCATCTTTATAAGTAGTATAGATATGTGGGTTTCAGCTCTCAGAATTCCTAACCAGCATGGCTATACAGGATAAAATGGAAATTTCCCTGTTTATTTACTTGGGCAAATGAAACCCTCCTGAATAAAAGGAAGGGGCATATTGTGGTAGCCATAGAGAAGAGAAGTTTCTTTGTTCCTGTGCTTTTATCCCATGGACAGTGGAAATTCAGGGTTTTTGTGAGTTGACCATATTACAGCAGAGAATTTCCGCTTGGAGAAGATGATGCAAAAAGTAAGACCTAAGCTTTAAAAATATTTCATAGGTGATAACCAATATTTTGCATTGTCCCCTGACCCAGTGATCGCCAACCGGTGGGCTGTGAGAAAATTTTGGTGGGCCGCAGAGAAATCTCACCCCAAGAGCAACCCCCACAAAGCAATTAATCCAGGCTGCACAGAAACACAAGTGCTGTGCCGCCCACATGGCCCGCGGGAACCCTCCCCGCCCACTCCTTACCCGGTAAAGTTGCCTGCTAAATTTCTATTTTTTCTCTTTCCGACCTTCATCTGTTCTCTGTGCCGGGAGATTTAGATTAGCTAGGAAGCAGAAAAGGGTTGGATTTCTTGCTTTCCAGCTAGTCTTTAGATCTTCGGCTCTGCTTTTAAGTACAGCCGAACCTCCCTTAGGATCGAAGGTTTGCTTGCAAGCAAATTCAGTGCAGACTCACTGCAAGCAAATTTGAGACACTGAGCTAGCCAATGGCAGATAGATGGATAGATAGATAGATCACTGAATGATTCTGTGAGTAACTCAATCTGCCTGCTTTGCCTGATTTTGGGAAAAGTTGCTCTTTTTTTAAAATAAAAAAATTCAATATTTACATGCAAGGTGTTTGTGAGTTAATTTTGTGAGTTTGCTTGTGAGCAAATTTTATGTGACAGACTGAGCTAGCCAATGGCAGATAGATAGATCTCTGAATGAATCTGTGATTCTGTGAGCAACTCAATCTGCCTGCCTGCTTTGCCTGATTTTGGGTAAAAGTTGCTCTTTTTTTATAAAATAATTCAACATTTATATAAATATTTATAATATTTACATACAAGCCATGCCCAGCCAGTCACATGACCGCACCCACAAATTAGGCCACACCCACAGAACCAGTTAGTGGTCCCTGGGATCTAAAATTATGAGTTTGGTGGTCCCTGAGGTCCAAAAGGTTGGCAACCCCTGCTCTGACCTATAGAGCAGTGGTTTCCAAACTTTTTCGGTCCACCGCCCCCTTGGTGCTACAAACTCATCCTCGGTGCCCCCCACCCAGGGGTGGGATTCAAATTTCTGTGGGGATCCCTGCCTATGTGTGTGTGAAAGAGGGAGAGAGAGAGGTTGTATCAGATCTCTCTCTCTCTCTCCCACCAACGCCAGAAAGCCATCATCAGTCAAAATCCATATTAGTGGTCTCCGGGATTTAAAATTATGAGTTTGATGGTCCCTGAGGTCCAAAAGTTTGGTGACCCCTGATCCAAAAGGATGAGCCTGAGAGAGGGAAAGAGAGAGAGAAAAGAAAGAGAGGAAGAAAATAAAGAGAAAAGGGAAAGAAAGAAAAAGGGACAAAGAAAGAAGGGGGGATAGATGGAAGGGACAGAAAGAAAAAGAAATAAAGAAGGAGGGAGGGAGGGAGGAGAAAGATAATGAGATATCTATTCTAGTCCAATCACCTGCTCCAGCAGGGTAAGAAGGGAGTGTGTGTGTGTGTGTGTGTGTGTGTTCTCTCCTTGTAATTTACCAGTACATTTTGGTTTTGCCTTCTTCAGAATTGGCATTGTAATACATTGGGGAAAAGTAATTTTTAGAGTGGAGATCTGGTCCAATGGATCCTGTTTAAAACCTCAACAAAATGCAAGAGCTTCCTGATAGTCTTGATCATGTTTCGTCCACAAAACCTTTAATAGAAGCCAAAGAGGTTTCAATGTGCTGGCAAAGAGGTTTCAATGTGGAAAAGGGCCTCAGTCTAAACTAGGCCTCATTCAATCTGATGCATCAGGTCTCTCTCTCTCTCTCTCTCTCTCTCTCTCTTTCTTTCTCTCTCCCTCCCTCCCTCCCTCCCTCCCTCCTTCCTTCCCTCCCTCTCAGACTGGCTTTGCTCTACTTTCCTGATGTGCCTGCGGGGCCGGTGCTTCGAACATGGATGGATGGATGGATGGAGAGAGAGACAGGCAGGCAAGCAAGCAGGCAGGTAGGTAGGCAGGAAGGCAGGCAGGCAAACAGAGAGACCTTTTGGAAGGCTGGCTGGCTGGACGGACGGACGGACAGACAGACAAAATGCGACAGTGGTGGCACTTTGGGAAAGCGGTGGCAGTGGCTTTTCCCAACGTGCTGCCGCATTCAAAGCACCGGTTCTGGAGCATTACTACAGTCAATGGGTGAACCTGCAGGGCCGGCAGAGGGGGGCTAAGAGGTGGCAGGGGAGCATTCGAGGTGCCAGCCATGCAG